CTCTATAAAAATGACAGCCAAGTTGAAACAAACATCACTCAGTTAGCTTTTATTTTATTATTATATAGGTTTTCCTTTTTTGTCATTGTATATATGCATTTTTAGTGTTCATAAAAGAAATCTTTCTTCACCTTGCCTGTCATATCTACTAACCTAATGTTTAAAGACAGGCTAGTAATATAATCTACTTAGTTTCTAAACTAAGTTTTTTCTTCTGAAACCTCATGAGAGTTGCAGAATTTATGATGCCTTTATTTGTTCTTAGTATTTTTTCCCATTTTTTTCTTTTTCTGTCCCTTTAGTATTTTTAATTCCTTTGGTTCTTCTCATCCACCATAAGCCAAATTCTAGAAAAGTTCTGTTTTCTTTACTTAGAAGTTATTTAACAAGTATATACCATACAAGGCAAGTCTCCCTTACTGTGATGAAAATGTTTAATATCTTTAAATAGACACATGCACAAGTGCTAATGAAATTACCATCGAAATTAGGAAAATGACAAACCAGTGGATTCAATATTTTATAAACTATTCCAGTTTCAGAAATATACATTAATTGCAATTCTCTGAAGCAGGGGTTCCCAACCCCCAGGCCAAGCCTGTTAGGAACTGGGCCACATAGCAGGCGGTCAGCCGTGGGCCAGCAAGCATTACCGCCTGAGCTCCGCCTCCTGTCACATCGGTGGCAGCATTAGGTTCTCATAGAGGTGCGAACCCCGTTGTGAACTGCACATGCGAGGGATCTGGGTTGCCCACCGTTGATGAGAATCTAATGCCTGATGATCTCAGGTGGAACAGTTTCATCTCGAAACCGCCTCCACCCCACTAGTTCATGGAAAAATTATCTTCCACGAAACCAGTCCCTGGTGCCAAAAAGGTTGGGGGCCACTGCTTTAAGGAAACCTGATTATTAAATGTGTGTTGACATTTAGGTATTTGTAACTAAATATACTCAAGTATATACCTGGCAACCCTCTTAAGTTATGTTTATATAAAACCAGGCAAGAGAACTATGTGTTGGAATTTCATGAATAATGTGATTGTCTTCCACTAAAAGAAAATGAGTTAAGCTAATATTGAATAACTTAAAATAACATTTTAACCTTAAAACGTCCATTTATTAGGTAGTGGTCATATTTTACCTTATACCCTAAATCCATAGGTCCCAACAAGCTGTACTATTTCCAAGTATCGTGCCTCATTTTCTTTTTTTCCTATATTTCTTAATTACATTCTATACTATAGAAGGAAAAGGCAAGACTTGGGAAAGGTGAGAAGGATTGTTAGTGATTTCTCCCTCTCTAGTTGTTTAAGAGATAGAAAAGGAAGATATCTAAAAAAATTTGGCTCACTCTGGTCCCTGAAGAGCTTTCAATAGAAGGAGTGAAGTGCATTCAGGCCTTAAGGGTATAAGAATTCCTGCTTTCCTAGGATAGGCACTTTATTTTCTGCTAGAACAAGTGGTAGATGTTGCTGCTGTGTCACCTGAGGCAGCCTCTCCAAGTGACCACAGTCTTTGATTTGCAGGTTTATCTCATTTGAAAAACAGGTCTCCATGAGAAAATCCTTTTTCTCCACTGCTTCGTGTAATTGGTACGTTTTGTAGGATTTTTTTTTCAAAGAAATTGATGAAAAATAACCACCTTGACGTAGAATATTTTGGAAGCAATTATTCATCTTCCCTTTAAATCTATTCTAAATGTGTTACTGGTCCACTTTTCTAGAAGAAGGTGTGACGGCTTAGTGCATACACATAGTGACTTTTATCCATACTGTGGTAACCACGTGTTCTAAACTAAAAATGTTCATTTTATAATTTTCATTTAAAACTCTTAAAACAATCTTTAGAAGATTTTTCAAATCACATTCAATTTTTTAATTTTTTTGTGCTTGGTGATACAACAGTCATGTGAAAATGTGAAAAGAAATAGCATGAGGAGAAGAGATTTTTATTATTAGGGATATTCTAGAAACCTAAAGGTGGACGTTCACCTTGCCTGGTTCTCTAGATGCTATCTATCACATCTCTTTTTAAAAATGAACATAATTCACCAATCCTAAGACAGATCAGATCTCGAAGCAGATTGGGAGTTCAGTAAGAATGTGTTGTATTGATCTAAATTAAATAAACAATTGAATATTTAGGATGACCTTTGCCTCGTCATTCCTTTAAGTGATGAGCTACAGTATGTGGTTTCAAATTTGTGACTTGAATTATTTTAGTATCTCATCTATATATTTTTTGAGAGTGAGAGAATGTGTGTGTTTGAATGTCAAAATCTTTCCTTCCTACTGGGAATTTGGTCATTGAATAACTTCATGTATCCCAAGATTCAGTTATCTGTTGACTGTGTTGCACTGTACTAATTATGATTAGCACAGTACTCAGACCCAAGGAGCTTGATAAAATTATTTGTGTATGTCATTTTTGTTCTTGAAGTTAAAAATTTTCATATTTAAGAAATGATTATTTTCAACCTGAGAAAGCTGATTGCCAAAAAAGGATTATTAAGAGATGATTATTACTAATATCTGTCATCTACTTTCTCTGTGAAGATAGGAAATAAATGGTAGAGAGGTAAATAAATGGTAAAATACAGTGTTAGAGCTCCTTTGCAAAGAAACTATGGTAATTCTTTTTTAAATCAACTTCCAAATCTGCTTTGTAAATTCAGAAATGTGTAAATTCAGTCTTTTTAAAGCAATGAATAATACTTTGCAAATTATATTATACACAGTAAAAAGTAGAATAGCAATAACAGGAGTAATATGAACTCAAAGGTGCTCCTTACTTCATTCTTATTCTTAAATAAAGTATATTTTATGGCTATTTACAAACCAGTTTTCAAATGGCTGATATGATTTTGACTTTCTTGACTCTACCCAAGAACAGAAAGGTTGGTAGTGGTATGGAGAGAAATACAGTAGATTTGCATATCCCATTAAATGGTTGTTAAATGTCTTAACTAGCTGAGAATTAATTGTATATTAGCAGTTGTTATTTTTGTTTTTTGTTTGTTTGTTTTGAGATGGAGTATCATTCTGTCACCTAGACTGGAGTGCAGTGGCGCAATCTCGGCTCACTGCAACATCTGCCTACCAGGTTCAAGCAATTTTCCTGCCCCAGCTTCCTGAGTAGCTGGGACTACAGGCGCATGCCACCATACCCAGCTAATTTCTGTATTTTTCCAGAGACGGGGTTTCACCACATTGGTCAGGCTGGTCTCAAACTCCTGACCTCAGGCAATCCACCCGCCTCAGCCTCCTGAATTGCTGGGATTACAGGTATGAGCCACTGTACCCGGCCTTATTAAGTTTTTGAAGAGAATTAGAAAACTGTTTCCTCAACTCCAAGATGTTATCGTTGTAAAATGTGTCCTTACGTTTTATACCACTAAGAAAGAAAAATAAGCCTCCAGTTAAGCAACATGCCATCAATTGTAAGATATATACCAATGGGGAAAAAAAAAGTGCTGTTTAGCTGGGATACCTCCCTACTCCCTGAAAAGCAAGTCAGGGTTTTATTAGGAAAGGAAAACGGGAGAATGGGTATTTGGTGGCAGTTGTCATCACCATTTCATCTCTATATCATTATTAACCTCTTAAAATATCCATCTTAAGTATATTATGGCGAAGCTTTTTAAAATGGTGGCACTGGAATCTCAAGAAGGTCTCTTCTCATCCTACTCCTTACACAAATTGAAATTAATTGTTGCTGCCTCCTTTTTGTATCTTTTTCTTTGGCTATCATTTCATATCCTTTTAATCAATACATTCAACAATTTGATACAATCAGATAATTCTTTCCTAAAGTTTGATTTAGAGTTAAGCATTGTACTCAAAAAGCTACAGGGTAATCTTTCAATTAAAATTCATCTTTTCAGTTCCATAGGGACCAAGGTATTTGTTGATAGCTTCAGGTCTAATAACTTGAACAAAATGTTCTGGCATCTTGAAAAACAAAATTCTTGGAATTTATTCTAGCTTCTCTTCCAAAGGTGTACTGGCCCCATTCCTTAGGTCAATACTGACACTTATCTATCAAGTTTGCAGAAATGCAATGAGTTCTTGCTTCTTCTGTTGTGTATGTGTTAGTGATAGGAAATCGTTTGGTATCTTCTTAGATAATAAATACCATTGGAATGTTTTTCAAACTGTGACTCCAATGTCTTTGGCATTTTCCATTGTACTTCTTATATATGTTTATGCCTTCCCTGTCCTCTGTATCTGTAAGGAATGGACCTGACATTAAGACTTCTCCATAGAGCACATGAGGAAGGATTTACTAACAAACTACATTAAACCCTTGATAGCCTCAAACAAGCATCTAAAGAATCACTGTCCTCCATATGACTGTATTTTAATGTTTATGAATATGACTAAGATGGTCACACTTTGAACAGACTCACAAAATAATCTTCAACTTGTTAGTGGTTTCATTTTTTTGAAAACAGAAATTCTAAAAATTACTTATGGAATGTCTGGTGTTTGGGGGATGATGTCAGAAATGAATCTGTTCTGTTGGCCTCAGCCCCACATCAGACTCATCAGAGTCTGCATCTCTTTTCCTTTTTCTGCACATCTACTTTTGTTTCTTCCTAAGTGCCCAGTAATGTAAGGAAGCAGGTTCTAGTTCCCCTGTAGAGCTATAAAGCTATACAGGAGACTTAACATTCACATTACTTTGCAGAAAGGTGCTTATGAAAATTCAGAGACTTGGCGGGCTTTGGAAGATGGTTATATAACATTAAAATATGTTCTCTTCTCTAATGATTTGATCATTTTAACAGTATGGATTAACCCACAGGATTTCCAGTAGACATTTTCAATGGAATAGGAATGGCAATAAAACAAATTACTAACGTGACTGTAGTCCATATATATGTCTATTATTTATATGTAATATACATATACACTTAGAAATGCTATATTATTTTGCTTGTAGGTATAACATGATTCTAGTTCTGCCTCCTTAACTATTCTTATTTTTATTTTTTTTAGAACACAGATATTTGCATTCAATGGGGAACAAACGATGAAGAAGGAAAAGGAATATATTCACTAAGGATTCTATCTGCGTACTGCTACAGACCTGTGTTTTAAGGAATTCTCCTCCTTCTTGCATAGAAGTTGATCAGCTCTGTGGTCAGACTCATTTATCTTGTCATTGCCAGAAGAAATCCTGGACAGAATGTAACAGTACGTCTCTCTCTGATTGCTATGGAAGGTGATAAACTGATACTCACTTATTAAAGTTACGTCTCACTCACCACAGAAAACCATTCTTTAAAGTGAATAGAAACCAAGCCCTTGTGAACACTTCTATTGAACATGACTCATGGAGAAGAGCTTGGCTCTGATGTGCACCAGGATTCTATTGTTTTAACTTACCTAGAAGGATTACTAATGCATCAGGCAGCAGGGGGATCAGGTACTGCCGTCGACAAAAAGTCTGCTGGGAATAATGAAGAGGATCAGAACTTTAACATTTCTGGCAGTGCATTTCCCACCTGTCAAAGTAATGGTCCAGTTCTCAATACACATACATATCAGGGATCTGGCATGCTGCACCTCAAAAAAGCCAGACTGTTGCAGTCTTCTGAGGACTGGAATGCAGCAAAGCGGAAGAGGCTGTCTGATTCTATCGTAAATTTAAACGTAAAGAAGGAAGCTTTGCTAGCTGGCATGGTTGACAGTGTGCCTAAAGGCAAACAGGATAGCACATTACTGGCCTCTTTGCTTCAGTCATTCAGCTCTAGGCTGCAGACTGTTGCTCTGTCACAACAAATTAGGCAGAGCCTCAAGGAGCAAGGATATGCCCTCAGTCATGATTCTTTAAAAGTGGAGAAGGATTTAAGGTGCTATGGTGTTGCATCAAGTCACTTAAAAACTTTGTTGAAGAAAAGTAAAGTTAAAGATCAAAAGCCTGATACAAATCTTCCTGATGTGACTAAAAACCTCATCAGAGATAGGTTTGCAGAATCTCCTCATCACGTTGGACAAAGTGGAACAAAGGTCATGAGTGAACCGTTGTCATGTGCTGCAAGATTACAGGCTGTTGCAAGCATGGTAGAAAAAAGGGCTAGTCCTGCCACCTCACCGAAACCTAGTGTTGCTTGTAGCCAGTTAGCATTACTTCTGTCAAGCGAAGCCCATTTGCAGCAGTATTCTCGAGAACATGCTTTAAAAACACAAAATGCAAATCAAGCAGCAAGTGAAAGACTTGCTGCTATGGCCAGATTGCAAGAAAATGGCCAGAAGGATGTTGGCAGTTTCCAGCTCTCAAAAGCCATGTCAAGCCATCTTAATGGTCAGGCTAGAACATCATCAAGCAAACTGATGGCTAGCAAAAGTAGTGCTACAACATTTCAAAATCCAATGGGTATCATTCCTTCTTCCCCTAAAAATGCAGGTTATAAGAACTCACTGGAAAGAAACAATATCAAACAAGCTGCTAACAATAGTTTGCTTTTACATCTTCTTAAAAGCCAGACTATACCTAAGCCAATGAATGGACACAGTCACAGTGAGAGAGGAAGCATTTTTGAGGAAAGTAGTACACCTACAACTATTGATGAATATTCAGATAACAATCCTAGTTTTACAGATGACAGCAGTGGTGATGAAAGTTCTTACTCCAACTGTGTTCCCATAGACTTGTCTTGCAAACACCGAACTGAAAAATCAGAATCTGACCAACCTGTTTCCCTGGATAACTTTACTCAATCCTTGCTAAACACTTGGGATCCAAAAGTCCCAGACGTAGATATCAAAGAAGATCAAGATACCTCAAAGAATTCTAAGCTAAACTCACATCAGAAAGTAACACTTCTTCAATTGCTACTTGGCCATAAGAATGAAGAAAATGTAGAAAAAAACACCAGCCCTCAGGGAGTACACAATGATGTGACCAAGTTCAGTACACAAAATTATGCAAGGACTTCTGTGATAGAAAGCCCCAGTACAAATCGGACTACGCCAGTGAGCACTCCACCATTACTTACATCAGCCAAAGCAGAGTCTCCCATCAATCTCTCTCAACACTCTCTGGTCATCAAATGGAATTCCCCACCGTATGCCTGCAGTACTCAGTCTGAAAAGACTGCATCTAACCACTCAATGGACCTTACAAAAAGCAAAGACACGCCAGGAGAGAAACCAGCCCAAAACGAAGGTGCACAAAACTCTGCAACTTTCAGTGCCAGTAAGCTGTTACAAAATTTAGCACAATGTGGACTGCAGTCTTCCATGTCAATGGAAGAGCAGAGACCCAGCAAACAGCTGTTAACTGTAAACACAGATAAACCGATAGGTGTGATTGATAGATTAAATAGCCCTTTGCTCTCAAATAAAACGAGTACAGCTGAAGAAAGTCAAGCATTTAATAGTCAACCAACAGGTCCTGAACCGGGGCTTTCCGGTTCTGAAATAGAAAATCTGCTTGAAAGACGTACCGTCCTCCAGTTGCTCCTGGGAAACCCCAACAAAGGCAAAAATGAAAAGAAAGAGAAAACTCCCTTAAGAGATGAAAGTACTCAGGAACACTCAGAGAGAGCTTTAAGTGAACAAATATTGATGGTGAAAATAAAATCTGAGCCTTGTGATGACTTACAAATTCCTAATACAAATGTGCACTTGAGCCATGATGCCAAGAGTGCTCCATTCTTGGGTATGGCTCCTGCTGTGCAGAGAAGCGCACCTGCCTTACCAGTGTCCGAAGACTTTAAATCGGAGCCTGTTTCACCTCAGGATTTTTCTTTCTCAAAGAATGGTCTCTTAAGTCGATTGCTAAGACAAAATCCAGATAGTTACCTGGCAGATGATTCAGACAAGAGTCACAGAAGTAATGAAATGGCACTTCTAGAATCAAAGAATCTGTGCGTGGTCCCTAAGAAAAGGAAGCTTTATACTGAGCCATTAGAAAATCCATTTAAAAAGATGAAAAACAACGTTGTCGATGCTGCAAACAATCACAGTGCCCCAGAAGTACTGTATGGGTCCTTGCTTAACCAGGAAGAGCTGAAATTTAGCAGAAATGATCTTGAGTTTAAATATCCTGCTGGTCATGGCTCAGCCAGCGAGAGTGAACACAGGAGTTGGGCCAGAGAGAGCAAAAGCTTCAATGTTCTGAAACAGCTGCTTCTCTCAGAAAACTGTGTGCGAGATTTGTCCCCGCACAGAAGTAACTCTGTTGCTGACAGTAAAAAGAAAGGACACAAAAATAATGTGACCAACAGCAAACCTGAGTTTAGCATTTCTTCTTTAAATGGACTGATGTACAGTCCCACTCAGCCCAGCAGTTGCATGGATAACAGGACATTTTCATACCCAGGAGTAGTAAAAACTCCTGTGAGTCCTACTTTCCCTGAGCACTTGGGCTGTGCAGGGTCTAGACCAGAATCTGGGCTTTTGAATGGGTGTTCCATGCCCAGTGAGAAAGGACCCATTAAGTGGGTCATCACTGATGTGGAGAAGAGTGAGTACGAAAAAGACTCTCCAAGACTGACCAAAACCAACCCAATACTATATTATATGCTGCAGAAAGGAGGCAATTCTGTTACCAGTCGAGAAACACAAGACAAGGACATTTGGAGGGAGCCTTCATCTGCTGAAAGTGTCTCACAGGTCACAATCAAAGAAGAGTTACTTCCTACTGCAGAAACGAGAGCTTCTTTCTTTAATTTAAGAAGCCCTTACAATAGCCATATGGGAAATAATGCTTCTCGCCCACACAGTGCAAACGGAGAAGTTTATGGACTTCTGGGAAACGTGCTAACAATAAAAAAAGAATCAGAATAAAATGTACCTGCCATCCAGTTTGGGATCTTTTTAAAACATAATGAGTATGAACTTGAGATCTGTATAAATAAGAGCATGATTTGAGAAAAGCATGGTATAATTGAAACTTTTTTCATTTTGAAAAGTATTGGTTACTGGTGATGTTTAAATATGCATACTAATTTTTGCTTAACATTAGATGTCATGAGGAAACTACTGAACTAGCAATTGGTTGTTTAACACTTCTGTATGCATCAGATAACAACCGTGAGTAGCCTATGAATGAAATTATTTTATAAACATAAATAATAGGCATAAATTAAAATGTAAAACTCCATTCATAGTGGATTAATGCATTTTGCTGCGTTTATTAGGGTACTTTTATTTTGCTCTTCAGAAGTCAGCCTACATAACACATTTTTTAAAGTCCAAACTGTTAAACAACTCTTTAAAGGATAATTATCCAATTAAGAAAAAACCTAGTGCTGATTCACAGCTTATTATCCAATTCAAAAATAAATTAGAAAAATATATGCTTACATTTTTTCACTTTTGCTAAAAAAGAAAAAAAAAGTGTGTATTTTTAACTCTTGGAAGAGGTTTTGTGGTTCCCAGTGTGTCTGTCCTACGCTGATCCTTTTCAATATAGATTTCTTTAAACCTTGTACTACTTAGTAAAAATTGATTACAATTGAGGGAAGTTTGATAGATCCTTTAAAAAAAAGGCAGATTTCCATTTTTTGTATTTTAACTACTTTACTAAATTAATACTCCTCCTTTTACAGAATTAGAAAAGTTAACATTTATCTTTAGGTGGTTTCCTGAAAAGTTGAATATTTAAGAAATTGTTTTTAACAGAAGCAAAATGGCTTTTCTTTGGACCGTTTTCACCATCTCTTATAAAAGCTAATTCTCACCATTCCTGTGGTACCTGCGAGTCTTATGACCAGGATTCCTTAAAGCTGAACTCTGACCACTTGCGTTAGAACCATCTCCATCTGGAGCACTTGTTTTAAAATGCAGATTCATAGGCAGCATCTCAGATCTACAGAACAAGAATCTCTGCTAAGTGGACCTGGAATCTTCCATCTGCATCTTAACACGTTCCCTAGGTGTTTCTTGTGTTTGAGAACCATGGCTTATGACTTTCCTCAGAACATGAGACTGTAAAACAAAACAAAACAAAACAAAACAAAAAAACTATTTGATGCCTCTATTTTCCCCAATACAGTCACACATCAGCTCAAAATTTGCAATATTGTAGTTCATATATTACCGTTATGTCTTTGGAAATCGGGTTCAGAACACTTTTTATGACAAAAAAAATTGGGTGGAGGGGATAACTTTCATATCTGGCTCAACATCTCAGGAAAATCTGTGATTATTTATGTGTTCTAATGATCTAATGAGTAACATCTACTTAGTTAGCCTTAGGGATGGAAAAACAGGGCCACTTACCAAACTCAGGTGATTCCAGGATGGTTTGGAAACTTCTCCCGAATACATCCTTAACCTTTATTAAAACCATTGTCCTAAGAACAATGCCAACAAAGGCTACAACATTTAGTTTAAACCCAAGAAAGGCACTAAATTCAGATTGGCTAAATAAAAAGTACAACGGGCACATATACATGACAGAATTGTACACAATCACTCCATTGGATCTTTTATTTTAAAATAGTGATGAAAAGTAAATGTTGATACAGTCTTAGAAGAACTTAATATATTCTTGAAGCCACATGGGGTTTCAATTGTGAAACAGGTCTGTTTTTATGTTCAGTTTGTACAATCCACAATTCATTCACCAGACATTTTGTTTTTAATTGTGAACCTGGTTAGCAAATGACCTATTAAAAATTATTCTATGATCACTACTAGTTAGAAGGATATTGATTTAAAGTTGTTCTTCTTGAAGTGGTTTCTAAGATTTTTATCTTAAAAATAGGTGTGATTTCCTAATATGATCTAAAACCCTAAATGGTTATTTTTCCTCAGAATGATTTGTAAATAGCTACTGGAAATATTATACAGTAATAGGAGTGGGTATTATGCAACATATGGAGAAGTGAAGGCATAGGCTTATTCTGACATAAAATTCCACTGGCCAGTTGAATATATTCTACTCCATGTCCATACTATGACAATCTTATTGTCAACACTATATAAATAAGCTTTTAAACAAGTCATTTTTCTTGATCGTTGTGAAAGATTTGGAGCCTTAGAGGTATGTCAGAAAAAATATGTTGGTATTCTCCCTTGGGTAGGGGGAAATGGCCTTTTTACAAGAGAGTGAAATTTAGGTCAGGGAAAAGACCGTCGAG